AAGTGTGTTATGGACTGAATTTTGTCTTCTTCCAAATTCATGTGTTGAAGCCCTAACACCCAGTACCTTAGAATATGATTATGTTTGTAGATAAGGCTTTTAAAGTGGTGATTAAGGTTAAATGAGGTCATAAAGGTGGGGCCCTAATTCAATATGACTGGTGTCCTTATCAGAAGAGGAAGAGAACTAGGGATGTACATACAGAGAAAAGGTCACGTAAGGACAAAGTTAAGCAGCCATCAGCAGGTCAAGGAGAGAGATCCCCAGAGAAATCAACCTTGCCAGTACCTTGGTCTTGGACTTATAGCCCCCAGAGCTGTGAGAAAATAAATTTCTATTGTTTGAGCCACACAGTTGGTGGTATCTTACTATAGTAGCCTTCGTGAACTAGTAAAACATAGAAGAGACAAGAGAGCATGAAAAATGTTTTTAATTCTTGCCCAGTATCACTTTTAGTGTTTTAAGTTTGCCCCCATCAGTTGCTTTTCCCACATCAGTGAATTGCTGGTGTTCATCTTTATCCACATTTACCACCTCTCTCTTCATCAAGCTTAATACTCTACTTTTTCATCTACTTAATACTCTTACACTAAATGTTCAATTTAAGGGCTGAGTTATAATAGGAGATTTTTTAAATATTAAGTTTACTAGTAAAAAAGATTTTCTGAGGACTCCTAACAATTTTGCTTAGGGTGAGAAGGAATTTTATACCTATACCACTGTCAATATTCCACAACATCAACAGATGTTTATTGGGCACCTATAGTGTGCCAGACACTGTGCAAGGTGCCAGAGAAATGGTGCTGTGAGTCAGAGAAGGTCCCTGCCCCATAAAGGGGAAGACAGATAGCAAACCAAACAACCAACCAACCGACCAATCAACCAACCAATGATTGCATTTATGGTAAGAATGAAATAAAGATCATGTGATGATAGAGACTAATGTAAGAGGCCTGCCTGAGGAGGTGCCTGTAATCTGAGATTGGAAGCCGGAGAAGGAGCCAGTGCATGTGTGTGTGGAAGGAGAGGGAAGGGGTAAAATGGGGAAGAATATTCTAGGCATAGGGTAGAACTAGTATCACGGTCTTGAGGCAGTTTTAGGAATTGCTTTTAGAAGTTGATCGAAAGCTGGTATGACTAAGTATCGTGATTGAGTGGAAGAACCTCTGACAGCTAAGCCTGAGAGATGGGTGAGCAAGGAGTAGAGCGCACATAGGCTTCTGGGCCACTGTGAGGGGTCTGGGTCGTAAACTATATGCAGAGGGATCTATTAAAGGGCTTCAAGCTAGCAAGCCAATACAGACTTAGACCTCATATATGGAACGTAGAAATAGGCATCCAATGTACATTTTCTTATACTTGAGAATAACATATAGGTAGAAAAAATTTTAATCAGGTTATGTGAGATCAGGGTCTAACTAAGTAAAAGTAATTGATCATGACATCAAAGTATAGACCGTAGCCTTTTACTGTACCTTTCCAACCCTTACACAGGAGGCCTTTTCAGAGTGGAGAGAAATATGCCAGAAGCTTCTGAATGTAACTATCAAAGATATAATTAAGGTAAGAGTTGGAAGTTTTGGGCTGGTTCCTGGTCCTTTGGTCTGCTTGCCAGTCAGTCCTTATAAACCATTAGCAAGCCCAGGCACTTGATAAGCTTTAGGGAAGGGCAGAAAAAGCCCTCACTGTATTGCATTTTGAAGACTGCCCCCCCCCCCCCCCACATTGGAGAAGGTGCTTGAAAATCATTAAGGCTTTTAAAACTCCACTGGATTAGGAAGGCAACAGAAATTCTCCCTTGAGCTACAGTTTATTTATTTGTCTTCTCTGACATCAGCACCAACAATGACACGTAAGTGTTTCTTTAATTTAGCAGCAGACTATTTACAAATGAGTCAGCTTCCCATTGTGTTAAGCAGTTAATTTGGGATAGAAGTCCCCCATACAGAGTTAACCAGGAGCATATATGAATAATTACAAAAACAGACGTTTAAACAAGAACAGCTATTCGGTTCCTATTAGTAGACCAGCTCATGAAAGATGAACAGACAGGGAGGCTGAGGAATGATGTAGAAAACAGACGGGACCCGGTGTCAGAAGACCTATGGGCAAGCCCTTGCTAGCATGTCACCTTGGATAAGTCACTTAATGTCTCAGAGCTTGCATTTTCTTATCAGTGAAATGGAAATGATAATATCCAAACTTGTAGGGCTTTGGCAAACAAACTAAATAATGTGTAGAAAAGGGCACTAATTTTGAAGCACATTATAAATGTAAAATTTATTCATATTCTGGCTGCTGTGATGAGATGCAAGAGGCTAAAGACAGAATTCTTGCACCTTAGAAACTTACAATCAAAATGAGAAATCACAATGCATAGAAATAAATACAGAAATAGTAACTTATTAATAACCACGATTCCTATTACTAGGATATGCTCAAAATATTTTTTAAAATGCAATAAAAATAATACAGTGGTATATGCAATTTCAGGAAATATAATAGATATGTGGTGAATGCAGTGTGGAGGAGTGTCCAAAAAAGCTTTCTGGAGGGCATGGATTTATGTAGGTTTTCTAAGAGGCAATGCAGCCTAGGGGTTATGAACTTGGGATCAGGCAGATAATGATCAAAATCCCAGCTGCACTGTTTATTAGTCATATGACTGTGGGAGAGTCATGTAACTCTCTTAATTGATACCTTTACTTATCTATAAAATGGGGACAATAGTATTTACTTCCGGGTTTACTCTAAGGTCTAATATGTAAATAATTATGTAATTAATTTATGTAATTGTAAATTATGTAAATAATTTATGTGTAATTATGTAATTTGTGCATTATTATGTAATATTATGTAAATAAAGCTTTTAACACAGTGCTTAGCATGAGGCAAGTGCTTTAAAAATAAAATGGTAGCTCTTATTATTATTATTACCATTATATATCTCACCACAGTTGAAAGGCGGTAAAGATTACAGCTATAATGATGATAAAGGAGGTGAGAGATTACTACATTACTTATGTAATCATGGCAGGTGTGGAGAACTGGTAGGATCTAATTAAGCAGAAAGGAAAGAGAAAGAAAAATGAGAAATTCACAAGAGAAGTTGGAATTTTTTAAGGACAGAAAAAGGCTCTGAGAAATATGGAGGGCAGCGGTTATTCAAATGGAGCCTGCTTCATTGATTAGTCTTAAATTCTGCTTTGATTTCAAAATACAAATCACACCTAGCTTTCATCAAGTAGATGTAAGGTGTCTCTGCTGAGACAGCTTTATGGTCTTAAGCGGCCATCAAGTCAACATGATTAATCACTTGAGTAGGGAAGAGGGCTGGTAGTAACACACTCTGAGCTTTCCTCTTTGGGGATTTCTTTGTTACAACTTTAAGAAAAGGTCAAAGACAAGCGATAGAAATAACCAGAGTGTGCTTTGAATTATGGGGGAGAGGACACGGTGTGAGATCACATCATTGCCTTCAGACATGATTGAATCTATATCGATTGTATTCTTTGAAGATTACTCATTCAATTTTTTGTTTTTGTAATCCAGTATTTTTAGTTCTATTGTTTCAGGCACCATATAACACTGCGGAACCCAACTCATTGGGAGTACAATTAAAGCAATCATCACTCTTTCCACTTGTTAGTTTTGAGGGGCTGAGATGTGAGAAAGAAGAGGAACTGTTTGACCTATAAGCTTGGAAAAATTTGAACAAAGAGATGGGCTTAGCAGAAGAGTTCATTTTTATCCCCTGAAAGAGTAGGATATAGTATAAAATTAAACTAGTAGGCTGGTTATATTGTTTTTAGAAGTACAAATAAAGATAAATATGTAACTCTTAAATAAATGCTCATCAGTGCATCACCTAAAGTCGTCCCATGTACTAATGCAAAATATAATTCTAAGGCTTCAGAAGTGGGAAGAGGAAGAAACTTGGGGAAGAGTTAAGGGAGGAATGGTCTAGAAACAAAGAAGTGGCTAAGAACGCCAAGTTGGGAGGGTGATGAGCACCAAGCGTTTGAGGGGTGCTTTCTGTGACATAGTAGAGGAAAGAGGGACCACCTATTTTAAAGGCAATTTAGCCCATTGGCTTACTTAATGGTTATAACAGCAAAAAAAATCCATGGGCCCTTAGTTCAGAGAAAATTAGAGTTATTAAGCAAAATAGAAATATTTCTAAGGAACTGGTTTGGTAAACATGTTGGTAAAACAGCTGTCTAATCTAGGCTGAAACATATCATATAAATGAGTAGATTGTCCATTTATTTTCATTCAGATTGCAAATGTACATTTATTATTATAATGAAGTAACTAACCAATGGGAGGAATCTCCTATGTCACAATTAAAATAGAGAAAAATTGTATAAATGCCTTTATCCTAATACATAGTGCTATCTGAATCCACACATTTAATACACCTGAAAGTAAGCTTTGCATGTTCTGGGATTTGAAAGGAGGCTTTATCAGAATGGCTTTCCAGAAATATTCATCAGAGAAAAGTTGAAAGGCAATTTCTCCCACTGTTATCATTGTTAAGGAAAGGATTTCCATGATATGGTCCCATCACATTGCTTTTCCTCTTTTTCACTTCTATCTTTATTGAATGAAGCACTGTTCTCCAAATCAGCAGAGACATACAGATCCTTGGAATAAGATAATATCTTGCATCACCACTGTGTGGTAATTGGACATGGCATTTGTAACACAGACTGACTGGTGGGACCCAGAGGTCTGCATCCACCTGAATGCTGATATTCATCATGGCACCCATGCTATCCCTTCAGCTAAGATATAAACAAGGATATGAATTCAATGGCACATTAATGGGAAATATCTGAACTACCATTACAAAAGACATTTTAATGGAATCAGTTATAGAAGTGCCTTAGTGACACCTCTGGCACCCAGTGCCTTTGCCCCTTGCTGTGAGGCTGCTTGTCAAGAGATGAGACTGTTCCCCTCTCGAAGGACAGGCAAGCAGCCAAACCTGCACTAACCATGATGGGTTGTTCCGGAGCATGTTGACATACAACCCGATGAGAACATGTTCATCAGCTAGCCTGTCTGCCACGTTCAGGCTGTACTGTATCCTGAAACAGGGCAGGAGGAAAGAAAGGGTGTTGTTAGGAGAGGCAGACAGAAATCAGCAGGGTGGGTAGGAGTGACTTTGTAGTAGAAAAGACAATTAGAAAACCAAGCAAGTAAAGGGAAAATAAGTGATGCACTATGAAAAACACAAGCCAAATCCAAGCAATGAAATTCACAATTGCATTTCACTAACTTTAAAAATAAAGACTTCCCTTTAGGTAAAGTTAAATTTTAAGCAAACAGCTTTGCATTCTTCAAACCACTAAGGCCAAGAAAATCATCTGCACAGTAAACACATTAAAATGGCTTGCAAGCAAAGATTAAACAGCTTTTGGAAAATCAAATCTGAGGCTTAGTCATTAAAAAAAGAAAAGAAAAGGAAATCAGGGAAAGTGAACAACAACACAGATCTGTCTACTCAAAATAACTACTTGGTGCTGTTAATGGAGTTATAATGAAGCTGCTTTTACTAAGTCACAGATGGTCTTTCAAACACAAAGAAATCTCCATTTTTAGTTTAGTTAATTCAAGCTTCCAGTACACTCTGGCTTTCACTTACCCTTTGCCCTTCAGAAAAGCTGGAGCAGCCCTAGCCAGCAGTTTGTTCTGCTCTACTTCACTGTCCTTGGGAGGAGAGCTAGTTAATAAGATGGGAAAGCCAAGAAGAGCGTAAACACAGCAATGCATTCAAGAATAGAACTGGCAACAGAAACGCCCAAGTCTAGATCCAAGCTCCATTTGGATGGCTCTCTTATTATTTTGAAATGTTCAAGATGTTTTCATATTTCCACAGAGCTGAACTAGGAGTAGAAACCTGGCCTAAGAACCACAATACAATTGCACAAGCCACCATGACCCCTGATTTGACCTCTGCTACTTGCTTAACAAATAAATTGCATACGCCTGGACATAATGAAAATTCATTCAACATGCATTACAGATGATAATGTAAATAGTCCAATAGTTCACTAAGTCCTGCCAGCCTTTAGATCTCACTCAAGAAGTTGACTTCTCCAGCCTTCCCTATATTCTCCAACTTTCTGTGTTGAATGGACTTGAATATTACCTAATTAGAGATGGCTGTCATATTACAAGTGCTTTCTGACTTCAAGCACAAGTCACCTAATCTTGCCTGTGAAGCTGCAAAGAAAACTTTCAGAGAAACTAAGAAATAAACCTTTGAACCTTACAAACATATATTCATATTCCTTGTGTCTATAACTGATGAACAGAGTTCCATTAATAGAGTAAATTCTTACCATTTTAGATTGATTATGAGGAACATTCATTTTATCTAGTAATTTAAATCAGTTTCAAAAGTTTAAAATGTAGACTTATTGAAGTACAACTAGAAATATAAATAATAACAAAGTATGGCCAAGCCAAAGTCACCCAAGATCTACTGTAATGAATATGCATGCTTCATTGGGAAATGTGATTGATTCTTAGTATTACAAATGTGTTTGTAATGTGCTTAAAGAGAGTTTGCTCCTTTGTAAGTTAACAATTTGCCCTGCAACACTGGTATACCTAAAACTACCCACCTTCATGGAGAATACAAAATTAACTGCTCGACTTAGGTGGAATACCAAGTTTTGTAATTACTGGGATTGAAATGATGAGGTTTACCACAAAATTTCCCAACATTTCAAGAAGTTCTAAATTATATAGGTATATATTGCTTATAAAGTAGTTTAAAAACTTTAATTACGAGTTTTAAGGTTTTACTACAAACTATCACTCTTTTAGACCATGTAATACAAAAAAATAGAAATTTATAAATGAATATCATATCAGAATTATGCACATTGTAACTGGAATTCTTGTTTTGTAATAGTATATAATACTTCCTTAAATAGGGAAGTTTCTGGTAAATTTAAAATCAAATTTGATTTGTAAAGAAAATGTGTAGTAGAGTGTAGGCACTCATGTTTGTTGAATGTATGACTTCACTCAGCTTCTCAGGAATCCCCTATTACACAAAGTATTGCTGTATTTAAAAAGTACAACTGCACGCAAACAAAATTGATATTAAAAATGAAATGATTCATGTTCTAGGAGAATTTACTTCCTTGGTGAACTCAAAAATTTTTTTTCAGCATATTGATCTCCACCTTCTAAGACTATGAAACCTGCCCATCAGGGCCAAATGGCCACTATAAGCTATCATAGTTGATGTTTTCTCATCATCCCACCAAAACAGCACTCCAAACTTTGTCTCCTGAAGCATATCCCTCTATGTTCATTATCCAGTAACTACAGTCTCCTTGTTGCCCAATTACCTTCCCCAACTTTTTTTTTATAACTCAAGAGTGATACAATTGATGCATGATTTCAGATTCTTGCAGAACCACTCAAAACATGGTGTGCTATATCAGTGATTCTTCCCTCCAAATTAATCTATTTCCCTGCCTTGCTATGCTTTTATACCCCCTGACTCCCAGAAATTGTGGTGATATTTCCTAAATCAAAAGCCTAATCATAATTACACAGGTACAACCTCTAATACTGAATGCACAAGAAGAAAGAAAGAGAAAAGAAACACAGGAGGATCTATCAGAGGATATGTTTGCTACAAATTACTCTGGTGAGGTCTTATAGGAGGAAGGTGATGTGTCAATAAAGCCGAGAAGTGCCATCCCACCACTTGGCCACTGATAAACCCTGGCACTGGAAGAGCCCTACTGAAATCTGTATGGTGCAGGGGCTGGTGGCAGGAGGGAGTAGTTCTCCAGATTTTTCTTTGGTGGACTTATCATTTTTTTCTCTTCAATTCTTTGGGACCCTCTCCTTCCTTTACTCCATTTGTCTGTCTCCTCTCTTCTCTTCTTATTCTTCCTTCTTATGCCCTAGTCCCTTCCTCCCTCAAAGGGGTGAGCAGATATTCTACGTTTACACATCTCTTTTCATTTTGTTGTCATTTTCTTTGCATTGGCTCTTGTTAGTGTTAGTTTAAGTCCTTGCATGTTCCTTTCCCTTCCCACATGAATTCTTGGGAAAACCAGTTCTTGGAAAATATGGGGATGACACTATTTGCATTTATGAGTTTGTGGAAACCATCTTTTGTTTTGCTACAGCTCTTAATTTCCAGTGCCAGGAGCATGTCTGAGTGTTGGTACTCATTGTCCACATAGTTTCTGTACTTCCTAAAACTAGCCTCAAATTCTTTTCCTCATCACTTATTTCTGGGAAGCCAAAAATATGACCATGTATAGAAGAAGTCAAGTGCATGACAAAAACATGTAAAAAAGAGGCCACTCTTTCAAAATAAAATGGATCTAGAGTTTGAAGAGTCGATGGGGAGGCAGGTTTCACTTAAAACTTGCATCTATATAGACTTTTCACATGAAGTATCTTCAGAATTTCCTCTGCAGCCCCCAAGGAGCTTGAAGAAAGGAGCAAAGTGAAAAAACTTTCTCCTGAGTTCTTGTGAAGACAGGGACAATATATAGTTTATTAGGATCTCTTCAAAGCAATGTACTCTCGTGATATTATGTAAACTAATTTAGATTTAAAAATTTCATTTTATAGCTCAGCAGCTTGCATGGAGTAGTTAGGTGATGTGTCCAATTCACTGTGGGCTTTGGGATCAGGCACACTGTAACTTATGTTCTTACCAAAAAATGTGTGCTTCTGGTATATCAGTGCGTCAGAATGCAACAATATCTTTTGCATGAACCTAGCTCTAAAAGTTTCTACTTCTTCTACATGCCCCATCTTCAAATCAAAATGCGTTCTTCCTCATAACCTCTGAAACTGGGAACTACTCGGGGCTCCCCTTGACCATGGGTGATAAATCATTTCTAATCTGAATCCCAAGGAGAAGCAGGCTGCCATCCCTAAAATTGTGTGTATGCATATTTTTTCCTTATTGTTGTCATTTTCTTTTCACCAGGCCCTTGCCAATGTATAAACATATCCCTTTGCGCACATATTATCATTGATGGGTGTGGTGACAATCATACTCTGGAGGGTATGACGAAGTAAATTTTGAAGTTTATGTGTTCTGCTGAAAGAAAAGAGGCAGAAATATTCCTTTAGACTATTTTTTTTCAAAAAAAATTCTCTATTTTCTCACCAATTCCTTTTTAGACTTCTGGAAAATAGCATATATAAAGATAAATGCTTTTCCAAAAATTTTCATACACACACACACACACACATGGACACAATGGTTCTGGAAGGATAGAATAATTTTAAAATATTTCATATTTATTTATTTAAATTTACCCTATTGTTTTTGAAGGGTGACAATTGATGGCAGTGGTTTTGGTTAAGTCAAACATTTTTGGGGTGTTCTATGATAACAAAATCACACACAAAAGCTCCCTGGATTTTTGCTTAAACCAGAAATATATTTTTAAAAACCACTTCTGCTTATGTTGGGTTACTATATTAGCCCTGGTCAAAGATTATTTTTTCTTTTATTGAATATGAAAGTAAAAAATCCTGAAATAAAAGTCCTGGGTATAGTCTCACAGAGCAATAGTATTATATAAATGAATTATGTAATGTGCAATAGTCATTATTACAATGGATAACAGAAAATGATATTTAAACAATGAAAAATTAACAAATATTTTTATTTTTATTGATTTTAAATAATTGATAAATTTGTATGGTGTTTGGACTTAAGAAGAATAACTTGTAAAGCTGGCTCCCTCCTTAAGTAACTATCAATGTGAATAAAATTTTGCTTTTCACTGTAATTAACATAGCCTAAGTATAATAAAAAAGAGCCCACAGTTAGTTTTTTCAGGGGATAATTTCTAGAAAAAATTGTATTTCCCTTTCCTCTTCTAACTTTCATTATCTTAGAACTGAAACAAAATACCTGCTACATGCAAATCAGCAAACAAGTATAAAAAATAGCTCAGTGTCTCAGGGAGAATTAGTTATCTATTCAGGTCGGCATGGAAGTCAAACCATCTTAAACAGGTACCACAGAAGAAATAACAAGAATTCTTAGCTCATATTTGATTCTTAGCTCATATTTGATTCACACATTTACTATGTTATCCCTGAGATATCAGCAAGCCATATCAATTGTATTTTTGTCAAGAGAGGCTCTAGAAAAATTTGCTGGTCATAGAGCATGCACAGACAACAACTAAAGCAACTCTAATAAGAGAATAAAGGTTATTGAAGTGAAGAAGAGAGAGGACTGCAGTTTTAATTATGTACTAACATTTTAGTATAGGAAATAGACTTGAGTGTGAAGACTGGTTTATTTTAAGTTTGACAAAAATCTAGCATATTAGTGGAGCTCTGGGGCTATCCGGAATAAAGAAATATCTGCAGAGTGTGATTATTTCAAATTTCATGAAATTTTAGACAACATGGCCAGAAAGTGTGAAAAGAGTGAAGAAATCTGGTTAATTTATAAGTTCATCTGTTTTATGAGGTTGATTTATAAGTTTATTTTTCTGACTGAAAACGGATGAGCTTTAACCTTAGAAAAAAATTAACCTTGGAGAAAGGCTGAATTCAGTACCTCAGTTTTATTTCTGTTCACTTTGAATTACCAAAGCTCAAATGCTTAAAATTCAGTTTGAACATTTTAAGTCGGATTGAAAATCTGGGTTGTTAGGACAAGAGTCTTTGGTTTCTCGTCCTAGTGTCCTTAGTGTGCCCAAACACATTAAGCAGTGTTTGAAAAAAACTGAAAAAGACACAAAGAGCTAGCCTTTCTGGTTGAAAACCCAAACCAATCAACCAACTGACCAACTAGTCAACCAACAAAAATAACTCACAAAACCTGGGAAGAATCAGGATTTGGGAAGTGCTTGGGGTGGGTGGTGTGCCTTCCCCATATGCACAGCTGAACCTAATACAGTATTAAGTAATTAACTGAATAGTATATTAGATTATGTTTAACACACTCTATGACTCAAGCAATTTTCTAATGTTTGGGAGAGTGATATGTCTGGCTAGCTACTATATATCATAGCCAATGTGATTCCTTTTCTGAGTGGTTATTACTAGAGAGGTTGCATCTGTAGAAATATCTGTGAAACCTTTAAGAGATATTTCTAATATTGGAGGTGAAATAGTCTAGCCATTCAAACTTCAGAGTGTCTTTAATGTGGCTAATGAAGAAGATGGCCGTAATTTAAAAAAACTTACTTTACATAGGAAAACAATGGTTAACTTTCACACATAAACTAGGCAAGAATTTTGGCAAGATAAGTAAAATTTTTACAAAGGAGGCATGATACCAGCAAAGACAGCAGATACTCAGAGGCACAGTGCTGTGGGCAGTGAAGGGGAGAAAGGGCCTTTTGGGCCTGGCTTTGTGTCAGTGCTTCCATGTTTACAGTAGTGATAGGCTATATTTCATAAGCTTAGATAATGTTGCTGCCTCACCATACATAGTCCTTGGAGCTCTTTTTCTAGTTGGTGATGATGGACTTCTATTGATCCAGCCATTTTTTTCCCTATAAATTCATGCATTTATAAGAAAACAACCTAGGTTTAGGGATACAGTTATGATTAAGAAAATGAATGAGGTGAATTAGTCCACAAATTATGTTATTTGATCCATATCCTAACCAGCATTGAACATTCACATGTGTCCCCACCACACACACACACACACACACACACACACACACACACACACACACACAAAGACTTCAAAGGGTTAAGGGAGAGTGCCTTTGGGAATTCCCTCTTTTCTTTTAAGTAAAAGAAAAGTGAGCCAAGTATATACCTAGAAGTGGATATAAGAAAAGGGGATGCAGACAGATGGTGGTGGTAATCAGAGTTATATACTCGTAAATCTGTGTGAGGCAGATTACTAGGATGTCAAAAGACTTCAAAGATGTACCCTAGTGCCCTTTGAAGATCAAAGTGGTACGCTTATAAAGGACTCTAGGTGAGAAATACCAGAAGTTTATAGGAGGATTCTGGAGTGGTGATTTCAATTTGTTCTCATTCTGCTTTATTTTTCTAAGATCTGTCACAAAAGACTGAAAACTGAGTCTAAATAAAATACCTGCATGGCAAAATTCCCTGCTTTCTTAATGCTGCCTTAACACTGACCAGCAGCACTCCTCCCTTATATCTGATTTTAAAAGGGCCAGTTGGGGTAGAGTAGGGCAAGGCTCTAGGTCATATTTATTTGGTTCAGTTCCAATCACAGGAAGAATAGGACCTTTAGCTGATGCTTACATTTGGCATGATAGGTTTCCTTCAATTTTAGTGTGTAGACATGGTTAAGAAATAAACAGTGGATCACCACCAGCATGATCGAGTGATGGAAATCAAGTACTCATAGTATGGAATTGGTATTGAAATTGCTACCTCAATAGGAATCAGACTGCTCTACCTTGGGGAAAAAATGGCCCAGGCCCAGTGGGACAGAAAATTGTAAGTCCTGAAGTCTTTTACTGCAGTATTGTCTTGGACTCAACCAGTTAGTGCTAAAGATCATCCCAAGAGGCTCTCATTCAAGAGTCTAACAAATTACCACCTGAGGTCTTGCAAACTGTACAAAAGCAGAGGCTCATCCAAAGAAGATCTGGCTTGGTAGTCTTCACAGCTATTTATCTCATATATACTGGTATGAAGCCATGAAATCAACAAAGTAAGTGGAAAAGAGAGGAAAGAGCCGAGAAGTCCTGCTCAAGTTGGAAATTCTCAACGGAATCTCATGAAACCCCAGAAAATCTCTATCTCCAAGACATACTACAAGAAGATTTTAGTGATGGAGTAGAATAACTAGCAGTCTAGCTATGGAACTACTACTACGATTAGTGGTTTGGGGCTGGGATACTGACCGTGCGCTGTGGTCAAGCTGATTTACATACAGCTTTATGAGCATATGCTCCTCAGCCATGGGGCTGTAGGCACTTATCCCCTCAGGTAACCTGAGGGATGCAAACAATGAGACCTCATTAAAACCTCCCATGGACAGAGCAAGGCCCACTCAGAGAGGAAGGACGTTTAGTGTACACAGCTTTATTGAACAGCACCCTTAAAACAGAAACCAGAGGCCAATCTCTGTGGTGACAGGAAAAACTGCAAACTTTAAACAACAGGTCTGTGGTTCACAGGGAACATTCCAAAAGGACTGAAAATGGGGAAAAAGGGAAACGATCATATTGTGGGTTAATGGGTACCATGCACCCTGGAGGAACCAGAACAGCTCAAAGTATTATAGGAATATTTTAGAGTAGAGGAAGCCATGTTATCCATCTAGACGCATCCACCATAAGCACCGTCCGAGCTGAAATGATATAAAATGACCTTCAGTAAGGATGGGGTCTATCTCTGCTTGACATTTGCAGAATGCAGAGTTTCCTAATAAATGCACAACATCTTTCTTAACATCATGCAAGATCTTCTCTAGATAGATGCATAGGCCCATGTCGCTTATAGACTTGACAGTTTATGATTTTGTTTTAGAAAAGGTGGTTGCATTTGCTGGTGGTTCTGAAAGGGAATGCTAAGAAGAACACACTGAGGGCCTACACCATATTATTTCACTGTGGAGGTTCTGTCAATCAGTTAGGCCCTTATTTCTGTTTGTTACAGAATTGCTTAATTTATGGGAAGGAAACACCAGGAACTGCCATATTTTGTTTATTCTGTTAATTATAATTATGGAGAACATCTTTATCTCAGGTGTCTGCTGATGGGCAAGTACAGGAACTCAGGGGAAAAATCAGGAGCATCCTGTGTCTCACTGTCTTCAAATCCTCACTAGAACGTACCAGGATATTACAGTAAAATTGGTATCTCAGAAATGTCTTCAGGGAAAAGACCGATTATGTTTGTTTTGCGAAACATGAGGCTGCGTTTTGTTTTTTGTTTTTCCTGCTGAAAGACATTTGAAATCTATGTTCAGTTACTCACTCCAATTTCTCTTACCTTTGTTTCTGTTTTCCTGTGAGCCTTCTTCCACGTATTTATAAAATAATTCTCTGGGATTTTATTCATGATATTTGATCAAATGAAGCACCTCCTGACCTCTGCATATTTGTAATGCTAGCGCTAAAAGAAGTTCTTTGCTCACAAGGGGAGTGGATCTTTTTCAAAAGATGACTTATATCCACCATTTTTTACTACCCATGAAATTATTTATGTGAAAACTACATTTCCAAGTCTGATCTTCAGCCTCTAGCTTCAGAACTCCAGAGTTCACCAAGAAGTTTCTTTCGTATCTGGAGCTTTAAATTAGGAGATTTTTCAGAATGTATATAATAATTCCCCACTGCATTTTGAAATTCCAATTTCCTGGCTTAAATGGGCCATCATAAGTGTTAGGAAAGTGACTTTCTCAACCAGAGAGAATGCATGTATGTCAGTAGTAAAATTTAAACATCCCCCACATTCTTACTGTGGATGTACTGTAAATGCAAGTTTCCAGAAGGGACTTTAATCCCCAAAGCCATCCCATTCTTCTTTAAATGTATCCAAATGAATGAAATGGAACACGTGTGACAGATATTTACATCACTGGTTTCTAACAATAATCATCCGTTCTTGGCTTACACTACAATATTTTTCTTGCCACAGAATCAAGGCTCATTACCAAAGAAAGGGCTTATTATATAACAGGGTTGGAACTTACCTCCTGGTAATAAAAGGACTTCCTGAGGAGGGGACAGAGTGGGAGAACAGGGTGTCATTCATGCTGGTTACAGGTCTGGGTGGCCTAAAACAAAGTACAGTATAAATGGAAAGTTAAAACAAGTAAAAGTCACAAATTAAAAACTATCTGCCATCCCTCTAGGAGAGGGGCTGGGGAGACCAGAGTTCTATCTTACCCAGGATCAACGTGAAATTTACATCTTCCAATTAAATTCTTTAAGTGTTTAAAGTTACATTTCCTTGAGAATATAGAATCTCAGTTAAATATCATGAGGAAGCTCTCTAGATACCCCAGGAATGTTTATCCATGAGCTTTGAACCTTGGCGTTTCATTGAGTCATCTTCTCGAATGGAGTGAGGGTTTTGAGGTAGCTTTACATGTACTGCCTTCTAAAGGGAGAAGCTCTGAAAACTTGATGATTATCAGAGTCTACATCCTCATGGAACGAGGAGGATTTCTGAAACTTTGGGAAGTTCCTCCTGTGTTTGCCATGATAATGGCCTTCTCCCAATATGCCCAGTCTGGAAGGACCGAGCTGAAAACTCACATGCTTTATTTGTTCTTTGTTCTAAGGGAAGATGCAATTAAGCACCACAAGTATTTACGGACTTTCTGTTATCTGAATGATCCATATGATAGGACGCACCTGCCAGGCACCCCATAAACTTCATTTATTTTCATATGATAAGAGAAAGAAAATTCGGTTCAACATGCTTCAGAATTGTCCATAACCCAAACACCAACTGCATCAGGTCTGTCATCCCGGTTTTATTTTTCATTTCATCCTGTCAGTCTTTCCCTATCACTAATGTCTTATTTCCGGTAAAATGATAGAGCTAAGATCCTTATCTCACCTCCAAGCAGTTTTCAGTCTCATTTTAGGTTTACTATAAGATAATCCATAGTAAAATAAGATGGGATTTAGATTTCAGAAGATGGAGGATGAGAAAGTTTTGTGTCACAAGAGTTTGTTTCACTATCATTCTTTATTTGAGTTTGATAGTATAGAATTTTTTGAAGATGAAACATTAGTTATAGTAGCTTATAGAATCTACTTGTATTGGCTTGATCAAGGGCCAAATTTGAAATAGTTTAATTTTTATCTTAGGGAACCAGAGTTAGTTTGGAGTCTACAATAAAGAGATTCCAGGGAAAAGGTAGACTTGTTTATCCCAATGTATTTATGGGAACAAGAATGATACTACCCAGGTTTTACAATGTCAGCACTACATGCAAAAATTCATTGAAACTTTGGTTCCCAGCATCTGGTGCTAAACTGTTCTAAGATTTTTAGAGACATATTATTTGATGGATGAAGTCAAAATGGTATGTTTACTATTTCATGTACTCTAAATATATTAACCAGAGTCCTGGAAATAATCTTAGTGTTTTCTATTGATGCATGAGTCTTGTTTAAAACTAATTCTGCCTTGAACAGAACATTTTCACTTTACAAGAAGGATGCTAGTTTTATACACATGTCCTATATAAATTTTCAAAAAGTTAGCTATATTAGAGTTTAAAACAGTAAGTATAATGAAATATCTTACATTGTAGCTCTGCAAAAAGTTGGAAAAAATCAACTAGATTACATTTCTGGTTTTCTTTGTCTTATTATTTTTTTAAAAACTTTCCTGTTTTGCTCTATCACTAGGCACTGAGAATACAAGTAGATTTGGAATGCTTTTTAAGTAGCCTAAAATATATTTATTTTATTAAACCTGGTCACCGTGAAGCCGAATTTGCAGTTTCTTAGTAAAAGGCTTCACATTTAAGGCTCATCATAAAAAATGTTGAACTTGGGACCATATTGTGGTTTTCAAAATGACTGACGTGCCTATTTCCTCCATAATGAAAGTGGAAGTTACCTTATTTAATAAATAGGTCACATTGGGAATTTTAAACATATTTACTCTTATGAAAAAGAAATAGCTCCACAAGATAAAGCCACAAGGGTCTAGTGCAAAATTTTCTTTCTGGACAAGACCTTCATAGGGGACATTTTTATAAAACTGGCATTCTTCTTATGAAACTAAAACTGTTCAACTCAAGGCAGAATTAGTCTTAAACTAGCCTCTGATCACTCACTTGTTTTGTGTCTCATTACCACTTGTAATTATGATTATTAGTCTTTATAAATACCCTGGGGACTATTGAACTACTTACCAAGTATCACTTTGTGCAGCGAAAAATTGAATAGAATAGAGACTGTTAATCATGGTAACATTTACTAGCAATACAATCGCTCAACAAATGCCAAAATACCAAATTGTCATCAGTTAAGTGGTTGTTATGTGCCTATGATAATTTAGAACAGCTAAATTTAGAATAGTACATTTTAAAATTAGAAGTCTTGGGTATCCCCATCCAAAAACAAACAAACAAACAAAAAGAGAAGACATGGATGTCTGTTCAGGGCACTAAAACTAACATTTGAATAACAAATAGAGATAAAAATAATGTCTAAATTCAAAATAGAAAAAAAAAGTCTGTTTTAATATAGACTGGACATTCTGCATCCAAAATTCCTTGTATGTTATTTCAAAAATTAAATATTTTTCATAATTTGCATTTTTAAATTAAGACATTGACCCTGAAAAAATATATTAATAGTGAGTATAGATAAGTATTTTGATTCAAGAGTTATTTTGAGAATCTAGTTAAATATATGAAACATTTCTCAGAAAAAAAAAGGGCATATTTTGTATAGCATTTTTAGGGAATTCTGAAACTCTCCACACAACCCAAATTGTGTAGATATTGTCCTCAGTTAGCTCAGTGAATAACACATCAGATCATATTGTCATCAGATAATATGAAACTTAAATTTTTACTCAGCCAATTAAACACACCCCCCGATCCTGAGCCAGCTGGGTACGGACAGGGCCCTGTGTTAGGTGATACTGCAATGTGACCGTGAAACTGACACTTGTTGCACACTGCCCCACTTCCTAATTCTTTCTTGAAGTGGGGGGTTGCATCCTAATTCCGTTCTACTGCAAAGCTCTTAGAGCCAGGCCATTCACATTAATTCTCTCTTCTTCCCTCCCACCCAGGAGCTCTGATTGAACGTTGCCTTCCAGGGGTGAAACTCCTGCCAGGTCTGGTAGAAGGTGACTGCAGCAGAGCTTTTGCCCTCGCTTTGTTTTGTTCATTCATTAACAACTTAGTAGCTGTCACTGGCTATGGGAAGGAAAGTCGAGACCTTCTTAAGAACAGCTCGTCTGAGGTCACTCTCTGAAAGTAGTTGGCCCTTTGGAACACTCCCAGATTTATTCACCCCTGGTTTATTTTAAGGCTTATTTTTAGGAGCAAAGTTTCCAAAAATAAGTTAACCACATTCTACAGAATCGGTTTATGTTAGTTTTTTGGATGCTTAGCTCATGGCAGCAGCAAGAGCCTCCAGGCTGTGTTTTGCTGAGGACAGTGAACCCTCAAAGCCACTTGGGAGCAAACCAAACAAAGCCCCGCAGTATTTATACAAAGCCCATGGACACGCCACAACACACATCATTTGATGATATTTGCGTAGGTCCATCACAGAAAAGAATTTCTGCTTTCATAAGGGTCTCAGGGCCACCACAGTGCTGCTTGTGGCTCATGTTATGAATTGCCTGAAGCATGCACTTTGCATTGGTGAATTCCTAATGTCAGGAGGTCTGACTAGCCCATCTCCTGATGTCAAAATGTAAACGTGAGCCTTGTCGTGTGGCAGGCCCTGCTGAACTGTGCAAAACGAGAGGCAGTTCATAAGGAAGGGGAACCACCTATTCTAGGGGCTTTCTGAGGCACCTGTGACCACATAATTTCTAATTGTGCATAGAAGCAGGTAATGAGCTTCTTTCTTCTTTTGAGCCCAAGATAATACCAAAGAAGAAATACTTCCTTCTACCTGAGCCCTCTCTGTTTTCTTGGCTACCCAGGCCTAAGAGAGGCTCCAGGCCGTGGGAAGAGGAAGGGATGGGAAGAGGCAGCACCGTTCCCTGGCCCAGCCTTCTCTGTTCACTGGACTCACACATACTTGGGAGAAATACTTTTTAAAAGTCCGTTTTTGAATGTTCTGATGAATTTTGCCACCAATCCCCCTCTTCAACTCTCCTCTGCACAGGCCACCATTCTTCTAAAGTTATATAGCTCGGGCTAAGACAACAACAATTTCCAGGTTTGTTGCCATCTTTAAGTTGAAGGCTTTTATATTTGGAACTCAAAGCACATATGATGTTAAGGTATAATGTGCTTTAAGATTTTCTTGGCACAGTAATTCCATTGATTGTTAACTTCCAATTGTGTAAACTCCACTAACATCCATATTTTAAAACTATGCTTTTTGAATATTTTCCATCTCTAGGTGAATTAAATGAGTGTTGCACACATTACCTGTACAGCTGGGAAGAAGTGCTATATATCTCTATAACCAAAAATTGGAAAGACATTATGTTTACTCTTTTTTTTTTTCAATTAAATTTTAAAACTTGGTCCCTGACATCTGACATGAAATTGCCTTTGTATGGATCCGGATATGAGTCAATGAAGAAAGATGTCTCTTAAACTGGAGAGCACAGATACTTACACAATGTGGGCCAGGTTGAGTGGCTTCTCTGGCTGGTCAGGGAACATGGGGTGCAAAGGTTCACGGCTGGAAGCACAGCTCAGAGACTTGCTTAATGCGTTAGTTAGCTTCTTAGCAGGGGATTTCTGGGAAGAAGAAGAAAGAGAGAAGTGATAACCACTAAAACTTATGTAACATTTGATCAGATGATTTTCTTTCATAGTACATCATTCATTCATTCATTCATTCATTCATGAAATCCTCTTTGAATATCTAAGTCATGGAGTTTGCTCAGTGCTAGACCAAGCCACCAGGGTACCTGCCTCCTGCTGCTGAGTGTCAGCAAATGCTGATAAATGGAAGTAGTCATTGTGCATGGGACACCTGAGCTGGGACTTAATAAGCCAGCAGGAGTCTTTCTGACAAAAACTCAGAGGTCTGGGAAGGTCATTTCAGATGGAGGAAGTAGAGACCCCATCCTGGAGAGGAAAGCTGGATGAAGATCATTAAAGTCCTTATATGTCACATCAAGGACTGCAGTCTTTATCTCAAATGCAGAGGAAGATAATGACAACTTTAAATTACGGAGGGGACAGGATCAGACCTGATTCTAGAAGGCCTGTTCCCACTTAAGAAGGAAGGAGGAATCCAGGTACAAGATATTTCAGGTGTGGCAGAACACATCTAATTAAAAGTACACATGGGAACTTCAGTCTGTCTTGAGAATTTAAAATTCATGTTCTTTTCAGAGCATGATGCTACTTCTTTTTCATTGAAGACTGGTGGAATGTTTATTTTAATATTTCCCAGCCAAAATTATCAAAAAAATTTACCATATATATATATGGTAAATTATTTTTGATATCACATAAAATAAATCTTTACCCCAATATTTTCTTTCTGTGAGAAGCTATTTATATCAATAATTTTGGGGTTTTTTTCACATAGAATCCACAATTGGCAAGATAATGAAGTGACTTTTGTCTACACTGTTTAAAAGCTAAGCAGTAGGAGCCCAGTTCAAGAAGCTCCTCTTTGGCTTTTACTAGGAGATGTAATTCTCAGGACACTTAAAACAGCAACAACAACAGCTCTTAACCCCATAAACTCTGGGGCCCCTCTAACCTCTTGAGGTGTCCAATTCTACTTTGTAAAGATAATGCTCTGTCAGTGTAATTTTAGCACCCACAACCTCTAAGAAAGAGGCTCCTTATCTGACTTTAGCGTTTACATAAAACAGTAATTAAAAATGATTAATTTTCAAACACCAGCCCTTGAGGATTTGAGATAGAACAAGTTTGAAAATTGGTAATACATTGACAAGAAAAAAATAGAAAATGTTTTCTCCTATCTTCTACACTAAACTGTATCTCATGATCTTTGTTAGTACATCTACCCTTGGCATGTGACATAACCAACAGTGAAGGGTGGCATTTAAACTGGCATGAAGCCTTCGGTGTATAATGCCTTAGAAAAGAACTGTTGACTCGGCATCTGACAGGTGCTCAACAAGTAATATATTTACACTGAATGTTGGTTCCCAATCATAATGCCTAGAAAGAACATTCTGATTTAAAATTCACATTCTGAAGATTTTTAAAAAAAGAACAATTACTCTTTAAGTGAGTACTATATGTTGAATTGAAATACATTAAAATTTTTAAAAAACCAAAAAGTTTGCATTTTCTTATGGAAGAATTATTTCAAGAGGGGTTGGCAGGTACATCCCACAAAAATGAATCTGTACATAGAGCAGTAGTTCATAGAAGCACAAAGATAACATCACAGGGCTGATTTTTTATTTAACTAAGACAGAGGTCAGCAAACTGTAAACCGTTTGAACAGCAAGCTCCTGGAGTCAAATTCCTCCTATAGATCCCATGCCATGTGCGCCTGAGAATACATTCTCAGAATGACAGGCACTCACAGGTCACATTTAGCAAGTTGCTCACTGTCGCTATTTATTAAAAGATGATTTGCTAATATCACTGCAATCTCTCCTTCCTCCAAAACAGTAAAATGGGACAGCATCATTAAGCCCGCACGCTCACACGTCTTTCCTTTATCTTCCAGTCATATATTTAAGAGAACTCTAGAATCTAAGAAAAAAGAAAACTAACAATCATTTTAAAGCAAGTCCCACCAAAAAAAACCCCACCAAAATTTGAAAAGAACCTTCACTTACTGTGAAAATGAGATTATGTTCCAGAAGGTGCTTGCTATTCAGTCCTTTAGTACTAAATTATGTATATTGCAAGAAATAACATAGTTTGAGTCTTCCTATATTTTAAGTCTCAGAAGCTACATTGGGTTCAGATATAATAAGTAAGAGATCCCAGCAAGATGGGGGGGTGAAAGGAAAGGGGAAAGGAAAAGAATGTTAAGGTAAGTTTTCTCCTTAATCCTGTCACCATCCTTGATATTCCCTTGCGTTCTGCACAACACTCGCACATCCAAATTTAAGTATTGTCTGGACCTTGCCTTACCCATGATGTGTACTCCTTCATTTGGTGCTGGTTGCTATGGGAACCACCGGCATGTCCCCTCCAGAAGCAATCCTGACAGAGCTGGTAATTGTGACACTGTTGGCATCGGTAGCGGAATCCCATCATACTCTCACTGTGGCAGTAGGAACACTCCACCGGATGGAAGACTAAGGGGGCAGCAAATGCAGAAAAAATAAGAGACCCAAAGTAGGAGCCAGAGCCTGGAAAAATACAGCTTAACAGGAACTGCATTTTTCTGCTGTGTGCCATGATTTCAGATGATAGTCAATTTTGGCTGAGAGAAGCATTATGTTTATTCCTGGACTCTCACTACACTTTTCAAGCATGTGTGTCGAGGTGGGAGAAATGAAATGGGACGGAGGATAGGTGTTCTTTAAACAACAAATCTCTGTAATGCCCTTTGCTCTCGCTACTCCGTCTCTTACACTCTAGGAATATAAATGACCCAAACTGACTTGCCTTTCCCCCAAACTTCTCTGTCTCCAGGAAACCAGCACAGCTCACTGGAAGACGCAGAAGCACAATGGATGTACACAGCTGACTATCCAGCGGGTCAAGAGCAAATATTAGAGAAATGGAAAACCAGCAGAAGAAAAATGAAGGGATAATGGAGGGAGAGTAGAAAAACTGGACGAGAGAACTGAATTACTTCTTTAAAAAAATGGAGCAGCTAATGGGTTCATTTAATGAGTGACATTGCCTCCATTTATAAACTGATGTTCTTTTTCTTTCCTAAGAGACAGACGGATAGGGCCCAAAGAGATGTATAAATTATCGAAATTCAGTTCAAATTCAGAGAGTTCAAGAGACACTTAACTTTCTTTGGAGAAAATTTGAATTTTAAAGCAGGCAAGGTAAAATAGTTGAAATGTGAAGCTAACAAATGATCAAATCCAAGTAATTGTCCACAATGCTGTGAGCTAAAGATAATAAACAAGAACAACCACTGTTGCCTCTGGTAAAGTTATTTTCTGGCTAACCCGTCAGGGGAAATAATGTAAATAAAGAATAAATGAAGATGAAATGCAAATTGTAAAAGCAAAGGCATAACCAGTTCTGGATGCTTTGTCTTCTGAATTTGCATCATATCCTTCCTTCTCAGGCTCTTGGAAAAGGCTGAATGAGACCTGGATTTAGAGACAACTGCTCTGGGACACAGCCTAAGAAACTAATTTCCTGCAACAGGAAACACTAAGCTAGAGGAATGAAATTACAACTTTATGACTGGAAGATGACTAGGTTCTGGAACTGTGAACAGTAATATGAACTCATTCTGCATGATCTGGCCCTTGAATGCTCTTTGCTTCTGCAGATGAGTAAGAAGCATAAAAAAATAAATCTATGTTTGGAAGTGATTACAGAGAATGTAGTAAGCTCATTCTTTAATCTTCTCCATGAGCAAAACAGGATAAATTTATAACTTTTAACAAAAAAAAGATAATAAGGGCAGATGATAAAAGTTCTGAATGGGAATTTAAAATTAAGCTAACTTTACCCCCAATGCATATTAAAGAAATGTATAGAAGTTAAGATTCTAGTAAGAGATATGGGATAAATTATTTTCTATTTAAGTCTGGAGAAATCTCAGAGTTAAATTAAACAATAAATAAGAACATATAAAGATTGGATGAAGGCAATGAGTTGTTTAATATTTAAATTTTTAAAAATCTTGTTCTGAATTGTGTTTCATATTTAAATTCATATATGTCAATATTAATTGCTTTACCCTAGAAATACTTTTATAAAAAACAGCATGCTACAAAAGTTTATACTACTTTTCTCTTTTACATAACCACAACCATTGGAAGCTTATAATTTGCAGCATATGACAAAAGATTAGTAAGTTTCTATTATCCATTTTTTTGTTTTTTTGCTTCTCCTCCACCTATTCCTGGTTGAGTGCCTAGGAATAAATATTCAATGCCAAGTATACCAATATTGGAAATTCATACCTAAAACAAATACTAGAAAATGTCACATTCGTACTGAGATTCTTCTGTTGTATCAAGTCTTTAAGCCATACCTCACTTGTAAGTGAGAGGTACACAGTAAGATTAAATAAGCTTTCAGAATGAACAGTCCTAATTTTGCAGGGTACCTATAAGGCCTTACTGATCAGGAAGACTGGTTAGTTCCATCCTAAACAGAGCTCAGAACAACTGAATAGTCTTCCCTAAAACAATAACCTTGGCTTAATACTATAGAGTTGATGGCCTAATTTCAATGATTTCAAAATTGCTTTAGCTCTGTCAGTAACTACTCACCATTTTCTACATTTGCCAGTCGATGCAGAAGGGGTAGCCAGACCAGACACTGTGGGGGAGGATCTGACATGAGCGTGTCCAAGAAACCATTTAATGTGACTTTTTTCTGCATCAAAAAAAACAAACCCGCAAAAATTTAGAACAGAGAACAATCTTAATTTATCTGATATGTAAATATCATTTGAGATGGAAGGAACAGACATTCAATTAACATCGAATATACTAAGAAACAAAACTTGAAACTAGTTCAGAATTTAAAACAGTGACTGTGTTTGGACGGAACTGGGCTATCTCCACTGAGGCCAAGTCACTATTATCACAAGGAGGAAAACAATTCTGAGAGCATCACTTTCATATATGAGGGACAGTATGAAAATGAGGAAAGATGAAGAATAGACATTCTCCATAAAGTTTTACCCAATAGTGTGTCATGACACACTCTATAATTCCCATATGTCTTCTAATTTTGTAGAATAGCTACCCTTTCAAACTTCCTCAACCTCTGTAAGTACTAAATATTTCATGGTCAATGTGAATGGTTCTGCTATACAAGATTGGTAGGGAATCCTGTTAACAGGAAGTGATCCCATCCTTTGTTGTTTTTTTTTATTGTTAGGAGAGAACAATCTAAAAAAAAAATTCTCTTCTTTCCTTTCTTTATGTATCTTTCTTCTCAAGTCAGTCTGCCTCTGTCTCATTACCCTGGTCCCTTCTGATGTAGAAAATGAATATATTGTAAGTTTCTATCAAAATGACTAAAATAAGAAGTTATATGAATACATGATATTGTCATAGTATAAATAACAAAAATTACATGTTTATATGCAAAAAAATCACTATTTTATCTGAAATTTTGAAATAGAATACGAAGTTGGATGGGATAGTTTTATTTTTTTAGAAAAGAAATCAGCCCTGATGAGCTATAGTGTCTTTTCAAGTGGTATACCTTACACTAGTTCTTGTGATTCACAAAACAACTGTTTTGGTATCCTTTAATTCATTGTTTTTTATTAGTACATATTTAGAACTTTAGTTTTTCCTCTAATGCTAAATACCTGAAGCTTTGTAAGGAACTGATATCAACATTATTATTAAAAGGTAAATTATGTAAAGTACAAGTCATGAGACAGTACCTTTTAAAAAGCTACCACAATTTATATGTCAAAATAATGCTGTTTTTCAAAACAATTACTTGTGGGGCTTGTTCTTTTTCCAATGAAGCAATTAAAACCATTTTGGAATTTCATCATTCAAACTGCTGTTAGAGCCAGTTTATGAAGCACAAAAATAAATGGGTCTGATGACTTTTATTTGTGGTGCCTCTTTTTGTACTTCAAATGGTCTTGTCCATTTTGACCATTCATCATACTGGCTATAATCACTCCTGGAAGTCAAAAAATGTTATTACAAGTTTAACATATATTAATTTCTCATCATTAAAGATATATAAAAGATTATATAATATGATAGTCTACAGGATATTTCAAAAGGAATTTGTAGTGATGGCAACATCCTATATAATTCTTCTTGAACATATAGGTCCTAATAAATTAAATAAAATCCTATTATTCTAGCTAGTTTTAATGTGAAATATTCTGAAGCATTAGTATATTTACTGAGGAGTCTATAATACACCACTACCTAAGATCAAGAAACGTACAAACAAACAAATTCAGAGGCAGAACAATCAGTTTGGGGCTTCATGCAATAGGCCAGGTAATAAATAATGTTGAAGAAAGAGATCTGAGAGATTTTTAGAAGGTAAAATCAGCAGGACTCGGTGAACGGATTTATCCTGATGTCACCAACTCAAAAGGGAAATAGAAAGAGGGCCACAGATTCATTCACCTAAGCCTCCTTCTATACAACGTCATTCCCCAGAACTGCTCATCACACCAAGTTCTGCTGGGGGCAGAGGTGAGGCACTCAAGCCAGTGTTGGGGTGGGGGCATGGGAAGGGTCAGAAAGGCCTCCTGGGTGGTGCTACAGGAGAAGAATTAGCACTTACTATATCAAACTACCCCTTCCCTTATTGATTGTATGGATATGTACATGATGTTACATAAATTCATGACTGCGGGAACACCTGTACACCTCCTGCATCACCAAGTAAACAGGCTGATGAAGTTTACTAGCTGGACAGTAAATGCAGCCTTGCAGTGGCTGCCATGCACTGATTTCTTATTTAAGGGATCCTTTTACAGGCCATACCGTACTTGATAAGTTTGGATTTAAAAATATTGTAAACAAGCCTGGATTTAAAAATATTGTAAACAAGCCTGCAATTTATGGATTTGTAAACTACCACTGTGTTGTGCTGTACTTTATAATTCCTCTATGGAAACTTCCCGCGTGACTGGAGAGATATAAACATGGAGTGACCCTCAAATTAAGCAGATTCTCTGGGCTAACTTATACCACCCCCAGTTAAAACATGCCATTCTGAGCCCCAAATGTACCAGGTTGTAGAACATTTAGGTAGCCAAGTCTATCATATTTTGGCCCTTCCAGAAGGCGACGTGGCATGTGCCATAACTTTTTTTGTCTCCTTTGCTATAAACATTGGTGAAGCTTGGTGCTGTGTCAGACTTGTGTTTCATGTGAGGCTGAGTGACAATTCAGCCCTTTTGATAATGCAGTGATAATAATGATACTATAGGGTTGTTGTAAGGATTAAATTAGACAATGCAAGTAAAGATCTTAGCATGGTGCCTGGATCATGGTCAGTAAACATCGCTATTATTATCAGCCATGTGTGTCAAGTTTAGTTACTGACTCACATGTCGTTTGTCAGAGGCTGGAAGATACACTACAGGTTATAATGAAAAAGAACTGGCCAAAGTAGTCACTTGGAGTGATACAGAAGGAGAGAAACCACTGTTTGAAAGATACTTCTTTAAACATGTTCTTTTCTACCTGTTGAGAGAAACAGGATCTAGCTGACTGTTCTGTGTAACCAAATGAAGGACCTTCAAAAACTGCTGTGGGTAGTTTGAGAACTTCCCGCAAGAATTGATCATATCGTCCATAAACCATCACCCCACTGGAGTCAGAAATCATTGAGAAAATATCTGTTGGAAGGAAAAGAAAAGATATTTATTCATCACATAAAAATTTCCCACAGTTTCAGTTCAACATATCTGCTGCAAATAACAAAAAAATATGGCAGAATAAATAATATTTATGAAAGAATAATATAAAAACTAATTTTTATGCTGAAATATTCCTGGCATGGTGTTTTCTTTGGTGTCTCTTTGTAGATGATTCTGGCACATAAAATTACCACACTTACTATAACACAGAGAACATCACATTGTTCGTTTGAGATCAATTATCAACTCATATATAACTCAATTGGAGGAATTTTTGTGTATGTGAGAAATATGCTAACCTCAATTGAAATGCACAGTGAAAATTTTACTGCCGCATTGGAATGTGTGTTTATCTAGTTAGTTACCCACCTATAGTATCACTAAAACTTTTGGTTTTAGGTAAGGTAAAAGGGAACAAATATATGGTGATGGAAGGAGAACTGAATCTGGGTGGTGAACACACAATGTGATATCTAGATGATGTATTACAGAATTGTACACCTGAAACCTATGTAACTTTACTAATAATTGTCATCCCAATAACTTTAATAAAAAAAAGAAAAGTGAAAGACACAATAGTGATAAGGCTGTAATGAAAACACTTGGTTAACTCCCCACAGAAGCAGAACACTTTCTATAAATCACAGTGTTCTGGGTGGGAGGTATTTGATTTACAGGGAAGGTTCTTTTGACTCATGCAGTCAAGAGAAAGCCTGGTCATGTGGATGATCAACGAGGTAAAGTCAGGGTCTGAAATTATTCTCAGCAGAGACTGTGACTTCACTGAACCTCTGTTCTTCAGTTTCTGCCACTATGTGTAACTTAATGAAAATTAATGGCATAATTTCCCAAGGTACTTTATAATTCCTCTGTGGAAGTCACTATTGGAATGAAAGGGTTTGCTATCATATAGTTTGTCACCATGCTAGATTGTAACTAGTCCAGCACAGCTGCTGGGGTGAACTTATAAATTCAAGGTGCTATCTCTGTTCATTTTGGGCCTAATTTTTCGAGGTCAAAATGTAATCTGGAGACCATTGTTTTACATCATAGTCATATGCTAAGCATATTATAGGCTTTTATTGAATTATGTTTTGAGGATGTGAATTGGCTTTAATTTTCTTTAAATATTCTAGTTATAAAGGATTTCTACTATTTCAAATAGTTTATCAACCATGAGGTTATAGAAATTCTACCTGAGCAACAAAATTAATGTTGTTTTCATTCACCTTCACGATGTTGTTTACTTAGTGAATTTTATCTCTTATATTTCATTATAACTGGTCAAAAAAAATAATAAGTTGCCAAGGGCAAAAAAACTCATACTACAACAAAAAACTCTTTATAGAAACTCAAGCATTCCAATGGAAAGGGGGAAAAGAAACCTGGGAAAAGTAGCAGACTTTCTCAGTAGAGCTGCCATTTTGTTTTTGGGCAGGTTGATTATAACTGAGCCATCTTAATGATCTTCTAGGCTTGGATTTTCTAGGCCAGAGCACATTTTGAAAGGTAGACTAGGCTTTTCAAATCTCCCACTGAAAGAATTTAGACAACATCTCTAACCAGAGCAAAAGCAGAAGGAGTACCAAAGTGACCTTTCACAAACCCAAAGCTAATATTAGACCCATTTACATTGATAAAGTTTTGTGAAGCAATAGCTAAACTAGAGTTAGGTCACTGGGATTAAAGGAAAGTGACTGTTAATGCCACTCAGATTTCTAAAAAGAAATGAGGAGACTCTGAGGAAGCTATCAAAATATGTGTTTGTACCTTCATTCTAGGCCCTCTGTTTTACACACATTATAGATACACACATACATATGTGATATGCTTATACTATGTAATATATATGTGTATGTATATCAAATAGAGGGCTATTTCAAAGATTAAATTAGTTTGTAGGTGAAAAGCACACAGATGTAAAGCACTCAGAACAGTGCTTGGCACCTAGTACACAGTAAATGGTAGCTATTTTTATTATTAAATTCAAATCACATTTTTCTGTTATTTACTTCATGTATTTAGGCTTTGCCTCCCCATTGGGATTGTTCTGTAATGTTCTAAATTATACTCTAAACCACTGTTGTATTTCCTACAGCACCATAAATGATGTACTGTAGAAGACTTTCCATTCATTGATTCATTCAACAGAAACTAACTTAGCACATACTAAATGTATGAAATTGTGCTAAGCAATAAATATACAGAAAAGTCAGGAGGTCCCAGTCTATTGAGGATGACACGGATATGCTTCCATCGTGCATCATATAACATCATATAACATTGTAACATGGTAGTGTGAATATGAGAATAGTTGGGTGTACAGGATGCAGCAGGAGCTCAGAGAGAGGGTTTCCAGAGGGAGGAGTGGGTCAGGGGAGATTTTCTTATAGAGGTGACTTCTAAGCCAAGTATAAAGGACAATTAGGGGCTAGTCAGGCTTTAGGAAACTGGATCAGGATGTGCAGAGGTGTGCTCGAGCACAATGCACTCAAGGGTCTTCAAATAGTTCACTGTGCCAGGGGCCTGGGTTCACATAGGGCATGGTGGGAGGTGAGCTAGCAATACAAAGAGCTTCAAAAGCTCTACTAAAGGGGACTAGACAGTGCCCAGAAGATGTTGGGGGAGATATGGAAGAATTTAAGGCAGGCCAGTGAGTTAGAAGTATCACCCTGAAGGTAGACGTGGAGGCAGAACCACCAGTTTGATAATAGAAACTCAGTAAATACACAGTGTTTGCCATAATGCCAGTCTTCTAAACAATACAAAGCAAGCCCTCCCCAGAAGCTTTAGAACAGCACCTGGCATTCCGGGCTTATAGCTCTGGATTCAGAATTCCTTAAGATCCTTAAGACTACCCAGGAACCCCGAGGCAGAGCTATAAATAAGTGTTCCATCTCATTACAACAGCAGGCTATAATCGGAACAACAACAATTTGACAGGCAGAGGGTATTTGGTCAGCTGATGTGTAGGTTGCTGAGTCCTATGGGAAGTGCAGTACGTGCCCTCCTATTCTAGGCGGCCTGGAGGTACATGGTGAACACCCTGCATACTGGCTTCTCATGGCTCTGGGTACTGGAAAGTGTGAGGCAGCCTGGGGGTGCTGTCCCTTTTAATACATTTTAGAGAAGCTTGGGAAACTCAGCTTTAAATTTTCTGTTGCTTTCTACATTTTTGCTTTTAAAATTTTCTAATTTATTTCCAGCCAATTACTCTTGCCCTGCACTCTCCAACATTAAGGGCTTCGTTGGAACAAACAAAATATCCTTCATCCCTATGCATAAAAATAGAAAAATTGCCAAACAAGCACAGCTGGCATATTGGCTTCAAAGTGAATTAGAATTTAAAGAAGGGAAAACAAAACCCTCAAATCATGAGAAATTCCATATCCTTTCATTTTACTTTTGCTTATTACAAAAGCAATGCAGAAAATCATTACTTGGTCTGTTCTATTATTAAATGCAAGCCAGCGAAAGGCTAGAGAAAACACTCACAATCCCGTTCACCAAGCATCAGCCACTGGTGTCTGTAGACAGATGTGCTCATATTTGCTCATTCAGTCAATAATTATCATGGTGACTAAGGATATTCATTTTTGACTAATTAACATTTTGGAGATGTTCTTCCAGCCAAACTGCTTTCAGCTAAGTTGTTTTTGGTCAAATTGCTTTCAACTGACTTACCTGGACACCACTGAAACCACCTCCCTGGAATTAACTCTACCAAGAGTTCTCAGTCAGAGAACTGTGATTCAGGTCCACAGCTCTGGGAGAGGGCAACATGATATATTGTGATCACACTATCTGTGAGTCACAAATGATTGTAGCTAGGAGGGACCGCAGAGGTATCTAACAAAATCTCCTAGTTTAGGATGGACAAGAAAGCTGAGGACTAAAGAAGTAAAGTAACTTCCATAGGATAACTCAGCAAATTAGCTACAGGTTGTAGCTGGGATTACAACCTGGGACTCCCTGTTCTTACCATAGTGCTCTTTCTCAGAATAAAACTTGTAATATTTGGGGTAATAGAGAGGGTTCAGTGGAAATTTTCCTTTTAAACAGCAGCATATAAATCATTTTAAACTAGTTAGAATTGAAAATTCTTGCCTCCTACCACCTGGGAGTGGGATCCAGAAATTGATGTTTTAAAAAGCCCTCCAGGTGATTCCATACATACTAAAATTCGAGAACCATTGATACAGGGAAAAAACTCAGGGTTCAAATCCTGGTACCATCTTAGCTATGTGATTTACTTTAACTTTCTGAGGCTCAGCTTTATCTAAATCAAACCAACCAACCAACCAAAAAACTCCCACTGTTTTGTTGGTTAAAGACTCGACCACATTTAGTGGAGAAGGGTCTTAAAAGGTCCATAATCACACAATGGACTGTGGCTATCATGTTTTTATTGACATCCAGTGAATTCTCAGTCTATAATGTATCAATGCAATTACTGTGCCTCCACCCCAGCAATGTTTACTTTGCAATGGTTGGAGTTCTTAGTGATTTGAACAGCACTGGCTGAGAAGAATGAAGACATGTGTTGGGAGCTTGGGCTTTAAATTACTTTAAAAAAGGAAGATGGTCCAACAGGGCCTTCATGTCCTGATGATGATTAACTTATATCTATCAGGCAGTGCAGTACAATGAACTTGAAAGAATGTGTATCCTACATTAATATCACAGAATGTGTATCTTACTTTAATAACACAGCCTAGTTGGTGATACTGAACAGTTTTTAAATAATAATAACCTGTAAGTAGGATAACATTCATCTTATTAACACTTACCTACTATGAAAATATTTTTATGACAAAATCCAAAGATCAATGAAGATCATATTGCAAACAAGTCTCACACAATGAGCAAAGTCACAAACAGGCAGGGAAAGGGGAGGGGGAAATGTGGTATGTGGGAGGGATAAGCAAAGAGAGACACAAAGAGTAACTTACATCTTAATTTGTCCATGATCTTCCCTCCACATAATGTGGCTAAAGCCATTTTGACAGCAAATACTGAAATTTTGCCATGGCCTTCCCTGTTTAATGATAATAATAATAATAAAAAAAGATGTCATTTGGAGAACTTCCAATAACAAGGTTTGACATTTTCCATTCTGTAGAATTCATAGGACACTGTAGCTGCATGCATTATGTGAACACATCCTTGTTAGAAAAGGTTGTGAATACAATTCAATACACATTTCAAAAAAATTGTCTAATCAAAGTTTCTTTTTTCAAGAGATAACAGAATCTTCAAGTTATTCTTTGTGCATATCAAATTTCTCAAAGCATGGACTGGTAGCTAGAGGGATATGTGTCATTTAACTATGCATACTTTTCACTTTAGATTTCATAAAATACTTTTATGCATGATTTACTGTTTCTATAATTTATTTAAACAAGGATTCAGAAAAAAATATTTTGTCAGAGAATTCTTGAATTTTGTTAGGGTAACTATGGGGACTTTTTCATCGCACGTTTTTTCAACCATCATTTCCTTCCCACAAGGCAACTGCACTTATATGATACATTTACGTTTCAAAGTAAAATCTGTTTGAATAGTTCTTCCACCTGGATGACACCAGAGCTGCCAAATCTTTACTGATTTACAAAGTATAACTAACTTGCCCTTTACAAAATGTGCTATAAAGGGCGTACTGTAAGAAGTATAATATTTCAGCTAAATGAGTTCCCAGCTGGGATAAATTGTTTATTATCATATCTTTGGAATCAGAAAGTGTATCATATTAGTAATTCATTGCTTTGATAGTTGCTACTCTTAAGAATGATCAAAAGAGTTATTTAAAATAATAATGTGGCTGAAAGGTAAGCAAAGTCTATATTTACAGGGGTTTAGTATATAGAATAAATCATTTCTATGAATAAGATTCATATAGAGGACATATGAAACGAACAAGGTACATTAAATAGTTGTGTTTTTGTTTTGTACTAGACTTCAGAGAGAGATCATTTGTTATTCATCTTTGTTGCTGTCATGGTTAGCATCGTACCTGAAAAACACCTAGCCAAAAGCAAAAGTGACTGTATCCAATGCTAGTGGCTCTCCCATTTATATGTCTAAGCCTGACCACAAGACTTATGTATTGGAAATTGTCAGTTGGATACTCCACGTCAAACCAAGTGTTTTCAAAGCAGAACTCATCATCTTTACAAAGCTCTCCCATCATACTTGAGCCAATCTTACTATTAACCTTCTCTTCTTCCTACAGTATTCCCTCTTCTGGCTGTTAGAACCGCCATGTGCCTAGTTACCCAAAAGTGAGTGAATCCTGGGGTGAGGGTTACCCTTGACTTCTTGCTCCTCTTCAATTCATTACCACCCCGAACAAATGTTTGAGGGACTCAACCACACCTCTTGACTGTATATTGAACTCATTCCCTCCTTCCCATTCCCACCTGCCATTTCTTTCATCAGCTCTTGCCTTAACACTGTAATAACCTCTTAAGTGGTCTCTCTGCTTGTATGCTCAAATCACAAATTTGACCATATTATTTCATTATTTAAAATCCTTATTGCCTCTGTTTGTCTACAGGATATAGTTCTAGCTTCATCTGTCTTCTCCAGTCTCATCTGCTTCCATTTCTGTTGTACTCCACACCGCAGTCCTACTGTTTAATGCCCCTGCCTTCCTGGCACGGTTTGCCCAGGACTCTGCCACCCATTCATTGACACCCAGCTCAACAGCATCATTCACTCCGCTCTGAAAAGTTTATTTCCCCGCCCCTGGATGTGGAGGCAATTGCTCTTCCCTTCACCTTTACCTATCATGTGGCACCTCTCACACTGTGTGACCTTGATTTGTTTATTTACATGTAAACATATAGCTCTACATTGAGAGGTCCTTGTGTTACTGTAGGCAGAAAGCGTAGGGCCATGGGGAGAGAGGGTGAGGAAGGAAAGGAGAAGGTAAGGGAAGACAAAGGAGGGAGGAAATGAGATCTTCCTTAAGAAAAAGGGCAGCTACCAGACTGGCCAGAACTAGATTTCGGTGGCTGAGAACAGACCCAGGGTGCCATCTTGTCCCTCAAGGTGAACTTTAGCTAATTATAATAGATTACAATATCATGAGCATTGTGGTTAGGGGAAATCACACCCCCTGTGTTGCCATGACAGTTCCGACCTGAGCCAAATAAGGGCAAAAATCCCTCCTCCCAGCAGGAAGGAGTGGGCAGCGAGGACCCGCCTAGAAAGGCCTATAATGCCACCCCTAAGCCTTGAATATTTTGTGCTTTCATTTTTAGTGAAATAAATTGCCAAGTCTCATTGTTCTTCGGGGCAGCCGCTCTCACCATCTTGAGAGTGTGCTGTTTTTCTTTAATAACTCTACTGCTTGCTTGGCTTATTTGGTGTGTCCTTGAATTTTTTCCTGTGGTGTACACCAAGAACCCATTTTCCGGCAACATTTGGGGGCAGAGACCATCTTCTGAGTTACTTGAATTCCAGTGCCTTTCACTTTGTCTCACACAGAATTATAGTGAACAATAAATTTCTTATATTCATTAATGACTATTAATGATTGTAATAGGTGTCTCTAGAATTCTGAATGACTACTCATGAAGTTATTTACTAATTTTAGAGCAGGCAGCTATAAAACCACCTCACCGAAAATTATTCTATGTCCCCTGCATTCTCGTTGCATGAATAACTGAAAATATCAAAAACTGTATTTTAGGGAACAATTAGCTTCTTTTCCTAAGCTGAAACATGGTTCGAATGAAGAGAACAAGAAAGACTACAAGGTGTGGAAGCATAGGAATAATAGAGCGATAATATGTCTTTGAAATGCAAAGAAATTGAGGAGCATTATATATGAGACTTCAAGAGCAATACAAGCTTTTTTCAATGAATCAGGGAGAACAATTTAACTCAAGAAAAAGAATAGACCACAGATGATGCTGGAACAGCGCCTTCTCCAAAGGATGAAATGATGATAGCTCATGGGTGAATTCTTAACCTTAGCTTTTAATGAAGAAGATCATAGGGAGATTGCCAGTCCTCTATTGTTCCTGGAAATGTAAGATTAATGCGATGAAACCCAACAGTGGTTGTATCAGAGCTGTTCTGCCAAATTAACATAATAAATCTAGATAAATCACCAAATGGAGGGCAGCTCAATGAGAGTTTTGCAGGAACTCAAGGGTGAAATTAGGCCACTGGAATGTATTGTTATGCAAGCTGCTGTGCCAGACTGCAAATGTGACCCCTGTCAAGAAGAAGGATTCCAGGGGTATACGGGGATGTAGATCATGGTAAGCACACCAATACTGGGTGAGTTCAGACTTTGCTCAGGCCTGGATTTGATAAACCTTTAAGGAGTTTAAGGAGTGAGTGGGGATGACTGACACCACAATGGAATGTGGGGGATCCAAAGACTTAAATATAAATGGATCTTTTTTTAGAACCCTTTTAGTAGATATAACAGGATGAAGAAAAGGGAAGGGGGGAGGGGAATAGAATGATTTTTTTTTTTAGCTGAGCCATGCTGCCACCTGTTGGCAGCTCAGTGGCTGCTCGGTTTGGGCCAGGACTCGAACCGCTGCTGCTCAGAGCTCAAACTCTTGAGCGAGCTCTTAACCAACTGAGCCACTTGGCCAGCCCCTAGAATGATTTTTATAAAGGCCTTTGACAAGATTCCATATCAAAGGCTATTACTTAAGCAAAATCACCTTTGCCCATTTCATTAACGAAAGAAGCAAGCAGTTGGGAGAAGTTGGTACATCCCAAATGGAGCTACTTTCGTTAGGAATCACTCTTAGTCGAGATAGTTTGATTCACAGACCGTGAAATCCCTTAAGTGTCTAGGAAGAAGAAAGTCAAGCTCATGAGGATGGATATCAGGAAGTGCCCAGGAGTCTTGTGCAAATGAGCAGGAAAGTGGCATCTTATTTCAAAGTGAGTCTGTACATACAATGCCTCTAGGAGTAAAGCAGTACAGCCACACATATGGAACGTTGGCAGCTCGCCACAATTCAGGAAGCAGACCTGCCATAGTGTACAGAGGATGAAAAACAGATTGTCCTTAATGCTGCAGGCCAAACAGCCTCGGTTAAATGGTCAACACCAGGAAGAGCACTAGAAAAAGTCTATGCTCTCTTCTGACTTGTATGAAAGCTATGGCAGCACACCTTCGATTTCATGTGCAGTTCTGATGGCCGTCTCAAGAAAGATGTATCAGAGCCAGATGTGTTTGAGAGTATTGTGTATAGTATACTCATATAACACATACTTTACTCTTTTTTCCCCACTATTTGTTTTTTGGCATACTTGAATATATTCCATTTGTAAGCCAATTATCCTGAAGGTTTTACCTATCCAAACTTCAGTTTCCTATTCTAATGTGATGTCAAAAAATACCCAAATAAATTGTTATATTGGTATTTAAGTAATACCTAAAAGGGTATTTAAGAGAACAAGCAAATTATCAAAGGTATATACTGAAATTACTTCATAAATCAATGTTTCTTTACATCTTTTATTTCCATTTTATATGTTGTTTTCTCTGAAAATTTTCAAATTTTTCTTAGGGGCAACTGATTGAAAATGGAAACAGGAAAGCCCCTACCTTTTTGTTTAAATATATAGAGATTTTTAAAGTTTCTGTCTTAAAAACATGGATTACTTCCAAGTTTGACTCATCATAATAAAAAGTGAATAACTGCATTATGCTAGACTGAGATTTCCATGACTTTACAAAAAGACAAATGTGATTTCTTTTAACTAAGAAGATATTACTTTTAGGGGACAGTTGCCTGGGAGGGAAAATCTGCTTTTGACAAGAAGGAAAAACAACAAATAGATATGGCTTGATCTGGAGTGCCAGGCTGAACTCAGAACAGATTGTAAATTTCTCCAAATTGACAAGAGAGTTTCCTGTTTGAAGTTCAAGAATCTCATGATAAATTTCAAGTCCTCGAAAGTGAGATTTTAATTCTGACTGATTCGTTTTTGAACAGGCTGGAGGAATTATTTCTCCATTTAAGAATACCAAAACCGGAAGCTCTTCTTTTACCAACA